AATTGAAAATCTATTCGTTTATTTAAATTACTCAAATTAAATATAAATATGTAAAATATCAATTGAAAAGATTATTTATCTAAATAAACAAAATATAAATATTTAATCTCATTTAAATTTTATTTTATCTTATTAAATTTTATGCTATTGTACGCAAACTCTTTAAAATCCAAAAATTTAAATAAAAACTTATATCAATTACAAACGAGAATACAATTTCAAGTTATGAATGTTATTATTTATTTTGTTTATTCAATAATGCAAGTTTATGGGCAAAAACTTTAAAAGAAACAATTGAAGAGTTCTGTCAATTTTTTAATAACTTTATACTAATATCTTTCATTGTAACCTTCTAAAGGCCAAAAATATGTGGCTTAATTGGAATAATGAACAATTTCAATGTCATCTTTACAAATAATAAAAAATGTGTTTTAGTTTAATAAATAGTATATATCTATTTTATAGCGAAAGTAGGATATAATCTTAAGTTTTTAAAGCATTTATCTTCTTAAAAATTTTAATTTAAGATTTTATCTGTAATTATTACGTTATAGTATTATTACGTTATATGTATTTGATTTTAAATGTTTCATATGTTTAGCAAACTTTTATAATAAAATAATTTATCTATATAATATTTTATATAATTTCGGCTCTTTTAAAAATTTTCCGACCCCTTGGTGACCTCCTTAACATACTTTTAATATTTAATTAAATTAGAAAAATTAGTTTTAATTTAAAATAAATTTATTTTTTTAGCAAATAATTGTAGAAGGCCAAAAATAATTTTCTAATATTGATTCTAGTTTTCCACCTTTATTTATCAAGTTTATTTGATTACACAAATTTACTTTAGTTATTATGTTCTGAAATTTTATTTCAAATTAATATTTGAGTAATATTATAATGATCGAGACATGTAAAATTTTAAATGTTACCTAAAATTTAGATCCAAATGCATTATTTTTTATGCATCATTTTTTAACATTAATTTTTTTATTTTAAAACCAATTTAAATTAGGTATATTCAAATTTAGCCATATACTTTTATATATTTTTCTATAATTTATTTAAATAAAACTAATTTAAAGGAATAATAAAAAAATATAACTAATAAACATTTAAATTCTTCATCAGTTGGATATCCAAGTTGGATATTAATTTTTATTTTTGAATAATAATTTTTGGTAAATTGAAAACCTTGGTCATGCACCAGGCTTTCAAATTCTTGGCCAGGCTCAGGCTCGGCCTGAGCGGCTCTGGAGCCGGCAACGGAGCTAGCTTCCGGAGCCATACCCAGCGCTGTTGCCGTGTTACTTGTCGGCAATTTAAAGAAATTTCACCAATAATGCCAACAGTTGATATTTTTATTTATCAACATCTCCATCTCTCTCTCTCCCTCACACACACTTTCTCTCTTATTGCTAAATTTTTATTTGTAAATCCCCCTCCCCTCCACGTCTCCTCTAAAATAACTCTCTATCTCGTGTAATTGAATCAATGATAGAGGGCTTCACCATTGATTTCATATACATGATTGTTTATCGATGCCATTTAAAATTAATTTAAGCGAGTTGCTATCTGTTGTTTGCGATTAAGGAGAATTTTTATTAAAACTTATTATAATATTAATTTATTTTATTAAAAAAATAAATTACCATTTTTCTCTTTTCCTACCATTTTCTCTTTTCTCTTTCGTTTCAGCTGTACTTATGCGTGTATAGCTAGAGCCATGGCAATTGAAAACCTTGGCTCAGGCATTGTGCTTTTAAAATTTTGGCCGCGCTCCAGGTTTTTATAATTTTAGCTCCGGCTCCGTCTGAGCGGCTCCGGAGCCGGCGCTGTTGCTGTGTTACTTGTTGGAAATTTAAAAAAAGTTTACCAATAATGCCAACAGTTAATATTTTTATTTATCTTACCTACTCCACTCTCTCTCCCTCGCACACACTTTCTCGCTTATTGCTAAATTTTTATTTGTTAATCTCCCCTCCCCCCCCCCCACGTCTCCTTTAACTTCACACTCTTTCTCGTGTAATGGAATCAATGATAGATGGCTTCATCATTGATTGCATATACATGATTGTTTATCGATGCCATTTAAAATTAATTTAAGCGAGTTGCTATCTGTTATTTGCAATTAAGGAGAATTTTTATTAAAACTTATTATAATATTAATTTATTTCATTAAAATATTAAGTATTTTTTATGTTATAGATAATGATTTATATAGGCAATTTATTAGATTTAGGCCTTACTGTGTAATATATTATGAAAAAAATGATAAGCCCCTAGAAATTGTTGTAACATGTAGACTTTAGGTAGAGCGTCTAACAAGTATTGTAATAAAAAGCTGTAAGCTACGTTAGTAAAGCTATTAAAAGTTAAATCAATCTTAATCTAATAAATTTTGATAATATAAATAATCATTTTCATCTGAAGATTTTTATTTAAATATATGCTAAGGTTGAGATATCACTTTAAGAAAAAGTCGCATCCTTTTTTAAATTTTTTATAGAATTTTTAGTATCTTTTTATTTATATATTAACGATGCGAAAAAACATATTAATATGCTTCTTACTGTTCATGATGTTCTGTCTACTTGATGTTTTTTCATCTTCTGGAGAAAGCACTGGGCAGGGAGATGTATATTACGGTTTTTTTATTCTAAACATTTTAATTAAGTTAACTCCGCCAGAAAAGCTTCAATATTTTCTTGATGGCAATGATGAACCTTATATTCACTTATTTGGAAAGGTTGTTTCTGTTAAAGGTATTATTGTTTCTTTTCCTTATCAAAATTTTTTATCAACTACTCAAATTGAAATTAAAACAGCATAAATTGAATCAAAACATCGTTGTTAAATTTATTCAACAACGATGCACCAATCAACCTTTATCTAATTTCAAAAAAATTTTAGGTGTCCAATTTGACTCTATAGCTCTAATTATATTTTATACTCCAATTAATTTCATATTCTAATACAAATTACTATTTAAAGAATCTTGATTATTGATTTGGTTATAAATTTCAAATGAAGGTTATTTAAACCTCCATGAGCACTCACTCATTTAGTTTAAATTTGCTCAACACCTAAGCACTCTTAGGCCATTCAACTTGAAATCCACAATTTTAGCAGGAAAACGTTGAAAATTTTTTTCTCAAATTATGATTTCTAGCAAACGTAGTTATACCTAGGTTTATTCATAAATCATAATTTGAGAAAAAAATTTTTAACTAACGCATAGAGTTCAAATAGAGTAAACGTTTGTTTCTACGTTTAAAGCTTGAATGAATTCATAAAATTTGATTGAATAATCAATTTCTAGGTCAATTAAATGAGGAGCAAATTAAGAAAATTAAAGAAGACGATGAACTGAGGAAAAATCAGTAGTATATACTCCATTTTTATAACACTTTTTGGAAAAAGTGTTATAAAAGCAGAGTATATTTATTTTTAAAATTTTTTAAAATTGTTATAAAAACATAGTAAAATATTTTAAAAAATCACGGCCTATACCTTTCTAATTAGTCAAAAAAATTTAGAATTTTAAATAATTTTTTAAATTTATTTTTTCTTATATTTTTCCATTTTTATTTATTATTCCTAAAGATTTTTCATTCCACAACAATATAATTACCACAAAGTCAAAAATATTTTACAAGTTTCGAAAAAATTTTTTGCGCAAAGTAATTACCCACTTCTTTTTTAGCGCGACAAGCAATTAAATATAAATTTTTACATTTTTGTGTTTTTGAAAAAAACAATTATTTTTGAGCATCTCAAAAGAATTATTGTATTCTTTAAATAGATTTTTATAAATTTTTTAGTCTTTTTAAAAATCATGATTAAAATGTAAAAATTTTAAGTTGTAAATAATTTTATTTATATATATTTTATAAGCAGGAAATTTTTATTCAAATTAGCTAAAATATTTTTATTTAAATAATTTTTTATATTAACTAAATAAAAAGGTTTTCCCCTGAAATAAATTACATACCGAAGATATGTAATTCGGTATGTAATTATTTGGCACTTATACGATTAAAAACATTGTGGCATCTCGAATACAAATCCGATTTGGATTATTTATAGCTCATTCGAACGAGCATAAAATACTTCATAAATTTATAACATTTATTTATAAAATTTATTTAATTAATTTAAAATTTTTTAAATTTAAAGTTTAAATGATTAAGAAAAAACTTCAGCTATGTTTATCTATTTTTTCAAAAAAGAATTTAACTTTTAGTTATTTTGATTTTTTACAATTTTTCCTGAAATACTTGCCTTGAAAATTGGAAAAAAAGATAATTGCCAACAATAATCATGTCTTTAATTCTATTCAAAATAGGAAAGCGCAAAGCAATTATATAAAATAAAATGGAAAAATGTTTTATTTGTAAATTCTTGCATGTTTGATTTTTTTAAATACAAAGCATTTCTCCTTTTTAAGTAAAGAGTAATTAGAAGAAAATTAGTTTTACTTAAAATTTTCCTAAAAGCAAGCGCGAAAATTATGTAGAAGGAATGAAAAAATATTTTATTGTTAAAATCTTGTTTTTATATTTTTTGTTATTTTCCAATACTTTGATAGTCAAGTTTAACAGCACTATCTTCCAATTTTCGTTGTATTAAATACGATTTATCACAAACATTTATTTTAAAGTAATATGATTTCTTGTATATCTATGGGTGAATAAAATAAACATTATACAAATAAATGTTATCACAATTCATCTCTCTCATGAAATTATTACTAAAATTAAAAATCGCTATGTAAAAATCTTTAAAATTATTAAAAATAAAATAAAAATAAGTTTGAGAATAAATTATATTATATAAAAATTATATGATATTTCAAAGTTAAAAATAATATTTTTGTGGTTTTTAGATTTTTTATTTTTTTTGATTTTAGAATTTTATTGTTTTTTTTTTATATTTTTATATTTTTTTGCATTTTATATTTTTAATGTATATACACGGCTGGGGTTAATATTTTATATAGGAATTAGTTTCCGACCTAGATAGAATGTAAGTTTCGCCGATTCAATGACAAATGATTTTACAGCAACAACGATATCTGAGCATGTCTCTTTTACAAATAACCAAGCTGAAGAAAACACACTTGGTTCGTGGTACACTACTGTAAATGTTGGTCTGTATACCTGTTTCCATTCTTTCTTTTCCTCATCGTAAATAAACCATACATGACCAGTCGGGGTCCAAGTTATATTTGTAAAATTTGGTTGAGGGGGTAAATGTAAAATATGATTGAAACTGCTCGGTCTTGGTGTTCTTCGAAATAATGATACTTTAGCTTCCTCGACTTTCCATATTCTTCGATATTCACAGTACACATACCCAAATATAAAAATAAAAATAATTTTATTAAACATTTTTTATTAACAATATAACGAATAATTATCACTTATATATTTTCACAAATTTTCTGATTGTTCAACTGCTTCCAATACATCTATACATTCAATTGGGTAAAAATATTGATGTCTTCTTCCTCCAGCAACACAAATAAGTGGTAATTGTGGATACGCAAGATCAATTCGGTGTCGAACATAAAAATATTGTCTTATTGTAACACGTAAGTATCCTCGTAGAGCAAATATCTGATCAGCCCCCATCTTTGTTAACTTGCTTGGATATATTTCCATTTGTTGATGCTTTAGATGATTTGTAATTAGAGCCTTTTTTCTAGATTCAGTAAAATTTCTTTGACCAATTTCGGCAATGGCTACATCGTCATTAGTCATGCTTGTAAGAGTTTGCAAGTAATTGATATTTTCATTATATTTTTTTCGTAGTTCGCGATGAAGTGATTCTGGGGCACATCCTCCATTGAAACGACAAAGTACTTGGATAAGTGGTGTTAATTGAACGTGTGGCGAAGAACTAATAGATTCAGGCATGTTGTCGCTAGTACGCATGGCAAACTATTTAGAATAAAAAATATTGCTCTTATATACTAAGAGGGCCTTTGGAAAATCGAATACTTGTCATCCCATCATTCCCTTTTTTACGGATATTTGTATGTAGTCTAAATAATACAGCCAGGACAAATAATAAACCTAAATCCAAAATATATGCTAAGACAAGCAGTATATCCTTGTTTGGAGATATAGCAGGCCCAATAGAAAGCGCATGTCCTCCGTCAATAGCAAAACAAGCATTTACATTCGGAGGAATCGGGCCGTGCAATGGAAAGAAAATATTACTGTCATTTTGAGATAATATAACACAAGATAGTGAAAATAGTATTAAAATTGAATATATCATTTTAGTAATAAATTAATATATTGACCTTTATCTTATATACGAAAGGCGCTGAATGAATCGTCTTAATAAAGCGTCACGTGCTTCTGGGGGAATTGAATGCAATTTTTGTAGTGTTGATGAAAAATTGTTCTTTGAACGCAATATTAAAAAATAAATACAATAATGGCCACAAGTATCTGATAGAGGGGATTGCAAAGGAAATTTATTTTGTTTTACTTTTGAAAAATTACCCAGCATAGATTGTCTCATGTCACAATTCGGTTCATCTGCAAAAGAGTCAAAGTATTCCAAAGTACTTGGATTATCAGAATAACAAGCAACCCAATGTTCACCAACCGTCCCTTTACGCATATTATTTACAATAAAACAAAAAGGCTTAGTCCATTTTTTATTTGGGATATTGTCAGAAGAAAAGACACCAATAAATATATTTTTTAGAGGTTTATATTTTTTAAGTAGATTTTCGATTTGGAGAGAATTCATTTTAAACAGAACCATCAGTACTCAACACACGATCTGCATTTATGGACATTATTGCATCGAATTCGCCCATGATTATCATTTCATACCCCTCATCCTTTACAGGCTTATCGAACAAACAACGGACGGTTGTTGTTCCTTGTCTAATGAGTTCCAAACCATTAGTGTCTTCTAGCGTCGAAGTCATAGGTATAACAAAGAAACAAGACGATTGCGCAAATTCTTTCATTCCTATGCTTAAAGTTCTTTGATCTGAATTTGGCCAAGCATCTAAGTCCATACCTACATACATATCAACAAAAGCACGTACAAAGCTGTCGTTGGAAAAATCAAGCTCATAAGGAACAGCTGGAAACTGGAACCCACCAAATTCTGCTGAAACAGTTCGCAAATTCGCATGCTCAAAATTGAACGGAGACAACGCAGTATTTCCCGTATATGCAGGTGCGCTTACAAAACAAATCACTAAGCGTCTAGGACATGTACTAGTGAACGCAGCATGTGTAATTTCCTGGCGACCTTTTCCAAGAAAAACGCTCCGAATTTCAATCTTTCTATATGCATATTTTGCAGGCGTCTGTTCTAAATGTCTAGCAATAGCATTATTTAGCGACATACTTAAATCAACCTGCTTAACAAAAATTCTCATATCATGAAGTCGTAGGCGGTATGTGCTTGTATTATTTAATAAATCTTCACCAGCTTTTTTACGATATTTTGGTGCATGAATAAGGAATTCATCGCTATTTCTGTAAAATGTCCAGAGCACATCACTATTAGGTATTAAAAGCTGATTTTGTCTGGCCATATCATAGTCCAAATGCGACAGTAATCTGCAAGTCTGACCTTTGGCAAATCTTGCTGCTCGTGATTTAAACCCTGAACCTTCAAAATCGTTTTTGTCAACTGCATCTTTATAATAAAGTGCAGCCTCATAGAGACCTTTGCTAACCTCACGATCTGCTCCAAGTTCATGAAGAAGTAGACATCTGTATGCGTAATGTATTCCTGAATCATAGCATTGAATACCATTAATAGATAAAGTTAAACGACGAATCCATGTTAAACCTAAATATTGAGCTACACTAGTAAAACTATCACCTGCAAAATTCCCTGCCAAGTCTTTAACAATAGGCACCCATTCGCCGGTTGCATCAACTCTACGTTCAAGAGATAATACAAGACTCAGATATGTCTTACTCAAATCTAAGTAAAGTGAGTCACCAAAATACCGGAAAATAAAAGGACCTGCAGATTGATTAAGTGCATTGAGGGGAAGCAATTCTTTGTATGCGGACCGTTGAATACCAACATTTGTTGATGGTATACTAAAGAAAGTTAGTCGATTATCAACCCCTTCAGTACTGTCTTTATCAATTTTCTTTATTGTCGTCATTTTAATTATAGAATAATAATAATATACTAATACTTATATACTCAGAAATCATCAAAGCTGAGTTGGTCTCTATATCGTCTACGTTTCTTTCCTAAATTATCTATAATAACATTTTGTTTTTTCTTTCGGCTTCTTTTGCCTTTCCCACATTGTTCTAGTTTTTTTCCTACTTTTTGAAGACCTTCGCTTCCATGCTGTTTCAATGCTTCACTTACTGAGCGACCTTGTGAAACATCTTCGAGAATATTTTTTCCTACATTTACAGCCTCATTTCCCGCAGTTGTGGCTATATTTTTAACAATAGGCATTAAAAAACGCCCTACAGCCCCAAGTACACCAAATCCTCTTTGATACCTAGTTCCTTGGAAATAACGATTATCTTCAAGTAATCTTCCTCCTCCGTCTTGAGCACTCAAAAATGGCTCCCAGTCAATTTTATCTATGTCTAAACTAACGTGTGTCATGCTTTAAAATAGTGAGCGTTGAAAGTGTAATGTTAATATACAAGTTCCCCAATGGAATTTTACTAGTTTTCCAGTTAAGGTTCGAATTTCAATAGTAATGTCTGGATGGCGTTTACCTAATAAACGATGATGATGTTCGGTCATATATACTTCTGAAACACTTTCTCCAGGTTCACCAGATACATTAACAACACGTAATAAAGGTGCAGTTACGTTACCTATTATGCTATTTTCAACAAGTTTTGGTGCATAAACTAAAAATTGACGCACACCTCCAGATATATCAGGCATATACTTTGCGACTTGTCCACTATGAACCTTCTCTGAATCGAAACCAAGAGTATAAGCTAGTTGACGACTTAATTCAATATATTGTACGTTTCCTTGCAAGAAGACATGAAATCGCTTATGCACTTTATCGTATAGTATGGAAACCCATTGATATTTTGGATCAGCGAGTTGTATATTGGAGAAACTAAGAAGCATTTTTAAATATTCAGGAGGATAAGCATATTCAGCTAGATGTAATTTTTTAGGCTCCGAATCATCCAACTCTTCAGATTCTTTTTGCGGATGAACTTTTTGTTGATGAAAATTTTCTTGTTGTGGAAGTTCTTTGTCTTTGGTTTTATCTTCAACATGCCTACCTCCACCGCCAAAGAAGCTTTTCCAAAAGGAAGGACGTTCAGGAGGGTCAGCAATTAACATTTCAGGATGCGGGAGCTCAGGCAACGAGCTTAGATCCTCAGGTTGAATTGCTACTTGCTCTGGTTCTTCTTCAATAATGGGAAGATTACTCACTTTTTCAGCCACTTCCTCATTACTTATTGCTGGAGATTCCTGTGGCTTTCCTAAGCCTTCTTTTTCAGGGGACCATGGTTCAACAGCGTCTTCTTCACTTATTGTTGTTAATTCATGCGACTCATTATCTTCAAGATTGTGCCTTGAATGTTGTACAGGCTCTTCTAAGGGGGGAGTCCAAGGCTCTTCATCTTCATCAACAACTCCTGGAAATTCCTGAATCTTTTCTTTAGAAAATTCTACATGCTCCTCAGCGACTTCTTGTTCAATTTCCTCACGAGGTTCAATATTTTTTTCATTTTCCAATATTTCTTTAGAAGTATCTTCAGCGACTTCTTGTGCATGTTCATCGTCAATATTTTCATCTTCTACAATTGTCGCAGGATCTGCATCCATTTCTTGCGTACCTTCAGAAGTTTCTTCAGGCGTTTCAGCGACTTCTTGTTCATGTTCAGCGTCAATATTTTCCTCTTCATGTGTAGAAGGCTGTTTACTATTTTCTTGCATATCTTCAGTCGGTCCTTTAGGCTCTTCTTCATGTTCGACTTGACTTTCTTTATTTTCCTCTTCATGTGTCGAGGTCTCTTCATCATCAGGAGTTGTTATTTTTGCCGATGAAGTTTCATCGTCTTGTTTCGAAAGTTCAACTTCAATTTTGCCACAATTTCTTCCGATAAAAGTTTCTGACCCGCAACAGCTTCTTCAACTTGACTGGCTAATTCTTTAACCTTTTGTTCTGCGGCCTTAGCACGATCTGCAGCTTTTCGTGCCTCAGTAACATCGCCTCGTGATTCTGCCGCTACAGTTTCTATTTGTGCTTCTGAAACCCTATCTTTTGCATCTAAACATTCTTGTATCCATTTATCTATTTCATTTCTTCGACTAAACAATAATTTTAATTGTGTTACTACCAATTTTAGAATGGTTGCAGGTACTTTTCTCTTAGTTACCCCCGTCTCATTTAATGTTACCTCTTCATCTAGTAGTGCATACTTATAACGAGCATCTTTCCAATATTTCTGATTAAGATCTTTATTTAGTTGTGATTGTTGCTTTGCCAATTCTACACTATTAGTCAATGACCTTGTAGCCGCACGAACAGCCATATCTATCAAAGTTTTTTGTTCATCTGTTAGTGTATCAGAAAGAGGTGTTATCTTTCCGTCTAAAGGAGTTTTGTCATTTTGATTTTCAGTATCCTGTTGTATATCATCCGATTTTTCTTCAGAAGATACTGGAGCTTCAGTAGGAGCTTCTGATACATGTGTTACTGGAGACTTTGGAATAGGAGGATCATCAGTTATAGAACTATCAGATGTAGGCAAAATTTCTGTTTTTTCATTAATTTGATTTTTAACTTGAACTTGAGAAGGAGCAGGTGTATCTGTTTCATGATTTTCATCAACCTTTTCCACTAAACTTGCTTCTTATAAAGGATTTTCAGGTTTAGTTTCAGATGGAGAAGGTGATGCAAAACTTTCTGATACAGGTGTTACTGGAGACTTTGGGATAGGAGGATCATCAGTTATAGAACGATCAGATGTAGGCAAACTTTCTGTTTTTTCATTAATTTGATTTTTAACATGAACTTGAGAGGGAGCAGGCGTTTCAGGATTTTCATTAACCTTTTCCACTAAACTTGCTTCGTGTAAAGTATTTTCAGATGGGGAAGGTGATGCAAAACTTTTAATTGCATTTATTATTATATCTTTTTGCTCAGTTTGCGGCTTTAATCGAACAACAGAGCTTTCCGGAATTGAAGATAGAACTGGAAGTTTTGCCCCCTTAATTTCTTTATTTAAATATTGAATAAATTTATAAGCACGATCTTTTGGCATATCAAAGTAACCTTCCGTTTCCAATTGTTGAATGAAACTCTCATACTCGGCAGTAGGCAATTTTTCTTTTTGTTCAACTTTGGGCTGTGTTTGCGGAGTAGATTCAATGGTTTCTTCGATAGGAGTAACAGTCGAGTGTTCTTCATTTTGATTGGCTGAGGTAGGATTAGTAAATTCATCAAGTGCTTGTTTGATCAGCTCTATTTGATCGTGATTTGGAGTGAAACGAACCATTTCTATACCATCTATTGCATGAGGGCTTATAGGCGGTAAACGAATTCCTTGTTTTCCTAAAAATTTCATGAAATTAAATGAAATTTCCTTTGACAAATCAAAATACCCATTTTTAACTAATTGTTCGCTTATAGTCTCAACAGCTCGTCTTCTACGAAAATTCCCATAGATTCTTTTTTTATTTTCTTCAAGTCTCATTTCCTCTCTCTCGCGATCCAATTCCTTTTTCCAAGCATCAAGCAAAACTGCATTTATGGCCTCTTCTAATGCCTCTTCTGAGGCAAAAGACAAATCAGGTATCTCGATTCGAACAGATAGAAGTTCCTTTCCATATCGGCGATAAATTGTAATAGATTCTTGTTCTTCGGAATCTCCAAGTAAAGAGAATGAAAACGGATAAATAATGTTTGAAAGTGCAACAGTCCAACTTGAATCTAACTCAAGTGTGTCAGGCATCCTTACTGTAAACTTTGAGGTAGTATTTCCTTCAACATCTTCAGAATTTGAAGGTAAAACAACATAAAATGAATCCATGGTTAATGTCGAACTATGTCGCTGTCGTTTACCCAGCTGTTATGAATATCTTTATAACCAACCCAACGCACAAAGTGTTGCTTTATCCCTGTACGTGTTGTACGAGTCTTTAAAATTTCGGCAATACGATGAGTAGTATCCTCTTGCGTGGGCACCAACTCTTCTCTATAGAATATTCCTTCAATTAGGTTGTCTTCAAAATCTTTTAACCTATATGTTATAGGCGTACGTGCGTCGTTAGTTGTATGTATAAGAAAAAGCTCGTCAGTATAGTTTGGTAAATAACCTTTTTCAAATTTACCCTTTTCTTTTGATATACGGACAACTTGTCCAGGCTCGAGTTTAGAAGTTATTTTTATAGGATCATCAGTGCCCTTATATAGTCTTTCAAATAAATTTTGAGAATTTTTAAAAGTAACAGAATTAGGTGTAACACCTGTAACACGGTTTACGCTTGAATTTATTCCAGAAACAATTTTTTGAATGGCTTCAACCCACCGAAGTGTGTTTTTTTCGCTGAAGTATCGATATAATCTTTCTTTTATTGTACGATTTGCTCTTTCTGCCATTGAAGCATGAACATCAGGACTATAAACTACACGCTTGACAATATCCTTGGATATAAAATATTCCCTCATTCTTTTAGCCTCAAATTCTAATCCTCGATCAGTATACAATTTATGAGGCAAGATACCATCTGAAAGTTTGAAAACTTTTTCAAATGCTTCAATCATATCTTCTGATCTCTTAGTTTTGACGGGCGCTACAAAAATCTTCCGACTTAGAACATCAATACATACTAAAAGGTATCTGTTATTATCATTATGTTTAGATATCTGATCAAATATGGCCAAATCTGCTTGCCAATCTGTATGAAGACCACTTGGCCTTGTAACTAGTCTGGGAAATTTTTTTCTAATTGGTCGATGCATCGTATACACTCTTTGCTTATGCAAAAAATTATAGACGTCCTGATATTTTAACTTTGGATATTTGAGCTTAGCTTCTTCATAAACACGATGTATTCCTGCATAGGAAGCAGGAGAATTTAGCGAATAATATATTTTTGATAAAAAATTATCTAAAGCTTTTCCCATATTTGAGGAATAAATTTATTTTTCTTTTTTATAGGCAGGACTTTTACCAAAACTCTTTTCTTACTTTTCCCACTACCTGATTGACTTCCAGACCTTTCCTCTGTACTACTTTCTCTTTGCGTCTCTTTGATCATTTCTTTTACTAATGGGTCTTTGGATAATCGATTAAATAGAAAACTAAAACCTTTAGGAGGTGACGATATATCACCTTGTACATATTCGAGCACTTCAGTGAAATTACTATTCTTTACAAGTCTTCCTTTGACGTTAGATTCGAAGCTTCCATTCTTACGTATTCTAAATTTTTCAGCATTATCTTTGACATAATTTTCTAAATCTTTCGAATATCTCTTTGAAATAATTCCATTAAAAGGTGTTGTTTTTCTTCTTTTCATTAGTTTTGTCGATGTAAATTCTGAATCTGTTTGATATTCTGAACTTGATTGTACTGGTTGTAACTGTGCTTTAGGGGCTGCAGTTTCCTTTAGGTAAGGAGCAATTTCTGAAGCTCTAGCTACATTACCCTCATCGATTATCACCTTTTGAGGCCTATTTTCTAACTCATGTTTGAGTTGTCTCCTTTTCTTATATAACAATTTATATTTTTGGGCTTTGACATCTTCACTTAAATTTGGATCACTAAGAGTCTGTTTAATTTTTGAGTCTGTCTGTACTTTTTCATTTTGAAGAAAATCTCCGCCTTTGATCATGCTTAATAGTGTAAGATATTCGCTTTCAGGAACCATAATCATTTTCTTTGTATGTTTCATTCTTGTGTGAATCTATGAATGATATGTTCAGCTAAGGCTCCTAGGACAGGTACAAGTATAGCAGCAAGAGCGGCACTACCTCCTTGTTGTATTCGATTTCTAGCGCTTTTTTCAGTACGTGTTCGTGCGATAGCTCTATAGAAATCGGCAAATTGAGCTAACTTCTTGCGCTGTCTTCTATTTAATATAAAATTATTTTTTAAAATATTAGCACAGATTTCAACTATTGCTAATATTTGATCCGCACTTGCTGAAAGAATTAAGGCGTTCTTCTTTTTATCGGAAGATGTTTTAGCTAAACGCTGTAAAAATTCAAAATTTTCTTTAACGTATGGACTATAGTCATACATTTTTTATAAATAATAGTTTTAAGATCACTTATATATTATAGAGGCAAATATATAGTCTGTTTTTCACCTGGAAATATTTTAGTGGAAAGACGCAGATTCTCTTCTGTACTTGGATGCATATTAATTAGTAAATAGGAAAATTGTTCGGAAGTAGCATCGCGATAGGCCTCAAGAAAATAGTTTAACATTTTTGGGAAAAGCTGAGACCCGAGTGTGCGTACTTGTAGTAGTCCTTGAGGATTTTTAGTTAAAAGAATATAATGGGCGTTTGCACGAGCTGTCTTGATATCTCGTCCGTAAAGTGATTGTGTTACAAAGATTACGCTTACACCCCAGTTATGAGATCCCCGCGTGAATAATAAATCTAGAAATTCCATAGGGATATTTAGCATTAAGTCATCTAGGACTAATAATTGGTGTTGTTTAATCATCTCGACTTCTGGAACCCCATTATATGTTGTTATTCCCATTTCTTTTAATTTAAATATATTTTCGTTCATTTCACCAAAACAAAACAATATTTTATTTGGCGGAGGGTCAATTAATTTTTTACAATTTGCTAAAAATTTCATAAGCCATTGGGTTTTTCCGCTGCCTGTGGCACCGGAAATAACCATAGTGAAAGGAGCTTTGAACATTTTTTGCCTTGTAAAAAATGCGTTTTCATTTATATATTACAGATGATTCCTAAAGCAATTATTCAAAATGTTGTTTCTACAGCTCAACTACTTGATAAAAATAGTAAACTTAATCTTTATAATCTTGCAGCAAGTATTAACAATTCTAAATATGCTCCTGAACGTTTCTCAGCACTTATAATTAGAATTCAACAACCAATTAGATCTACGGCTTTATTATTTTCTAACGGGCGAATTGTATGTGTTGGGACAAAATCGGTGAAGGACTCGGAAATTGCGATTGGACATTTTGTTGACATCATATCATCTGCAACTTCCTTACCAATAAGGATGCGAGGATTTAAGATACAAAATGTTGTATCCTCATTTGCTTTTCCTGGACATATTAATTTACCAGGTAATTTTTTTCCAATCATAATGAATTATTGTTTTAGCCTTGTACGACACCATGAGAATTTCTCCTCCACAGTGGCTAGCTAAACATATTTCTTACAACCCAGAATTTTTTCCGGGTATGTGCTTAAGACTTGTTGATTTTCGCACGGTTGTTTTAATCTTTACGACTGGAAAGTGTATAATTACAGGCGCACGAACAGAAGAAGAAATTTTTATTGTTCAAAATAAAATTTACAATTCGATTTTAATGTTTGTAAAAATCAATAAATACTAGTGTTGATTTCGCTTCTTAATTCCATCAAGAGATTTCCAAGATAATTTTCGCCTTCCCATTGATTAGGGTCTTTCAGTTTTGCACTTTTTGGGCTTACTCCGTTGCTCCAATAAAGTTCTGATGCGGACGCCTGCGTAATAAGTCCATCGCCTGTGGCACGTAACTGATTGAATAGCTGAATGTTCTGGGTAAATTTTGCCCATATTCCTGTGTACATTACCTAAATATTATGATGAAATAATATATAATATTTTTTACTTTGTTGCGAACAGTGTTCCACTCAATTTGGTTATATCCGCGGATTCGTTTCCCAATTCTTCGAATAGTTATAGGATTATCTGACATTAATATTTCTGAAGCAATTTCCAAATCCCCGAAGAAACTGCTTTCTGCCAAATGAAAAATTGTTCTACTGAACTAAATGTTTTTCCAAGTAGTGTGAAACTTGTTCTAAATCGGTTGTCAAAGCCAAAACGTTGAGAATGAAATATGAATATATTTTGATGTTGTTCACCAATAATTTCTATTGGTGGATGCGAGTTCGCAGTAATTTTTATTTTCAGCCGTTCTAGGAAACAAGCTGTATTATCTAAAATATTTTATATTTAAATTCATTTAAAAAATTAACCTATATTGATATCATTGATCATATTGCTAAAAATATATTAAAACAACTAAACAAATTTATAAAAATATATTGTATAAAACAAATCTAAAAACAAAATATTTATGAAAAAATATTTATACGAAAAAGATCATTTTGTTGGATCATTAATAGGCGCGCCCCGATATCCATAAGGATAACAATCGAAATTTGCATCTACAAATCCTTTGTCATAGATTGGTGTGTAGCGTCTAAATAATTTTTATATTTTTCAAATAAAAATCAAATACCTTATTTGAGTTCGACTTGCAACTTGTCCTTTGCGCCAGTTAGGTTGAAAATGTGTTCGCTGTAATACCACAGGATCTTGTTCTTCTCCATATGCTTCTACCATTTTCTGCAAACGAATTATAAAATTATATTATAGTTTTTAAATACCCGGAATTGATTAAAGTCCAGTGGTGTGTCAACTTGCTCCCAAAGTCCACGGCATTTTACAATATATTTTATTTCACCAGTTTCACGGTGCTTCATTTTCATTGCATACTAAGAAAAAAATAAAGTGAATAAAAGTGTAATTTAAAAACCTGTTTGCATCCTCCTGTATAAAAAGATATAATAGCCCATTCTTCATATTCGCGACTCATCATTCCAAGCATATCCCCAACACGAAACGGTGGTTTTTTATTACGTTTGTGTACAAAAAAACAACTATCCGTATCGGTGTATAAAAGTTTACACTCGTTGTCATTTACAATTTTTTCCATAAAGTCGTAAAGCATCACTCTTGCCGTTGCTGTTGTAATAAGAGCCAATATAATGTTGTACTTATCGTGTGGTCGAACAAATTCGCGACGATTCTTATAAGGTACAGCAAAAAGATCTGGAGTCAACATCTCTATAGCACCAACTTCCAGCTTTGGATCATTAAGAATTGTATGAAGTTTTATTGGGGAACTTGTGATGCAATCTTGAGTTAAATTACAGCGAAGTGCCCAGCGTCCCCACCTAAAATTATTGATTTAAATTTTTAAATTTATTTACATTGAATTATTGCAAGTTTTAGCTAAATAGCGTAATCCTTCATTCCTTGCTATTTTTGAAGGATCAAGCGTAATACCATATTCTTTTTGATTTTTCACAATAAAATCATTTTTGAGTCTTTCTTCATTTTCAAGATTTTCCGGAGACAAAGCACTGCTGGGCCAACCGCTTGCCTAAGTTAATACGTATGAATATCAAAACTAATGTTAAAACCTCAATTTTTAGACGCATCATGTCCTGAACATATGGACGTAGTAATTCATCAGACCATTCTTCCCAATGATAGATGCTATAAACTTTTGTTGCACGATAACCTCTGCTCAAAGCAAGTTCAAGTTCTACAGAGCAAGTTGTGCTTACAAATCCGCGCTGTCTATCATTATGTTGACACCATTTTCTACCATAGCGATAACTAGTTTGTTTACGTTTAGCCACGCCGGGTTCTATTTCTATTGCACATTGATGACATAGGTGAAATATCTAGGAAATTTTTTAATATGGATTAAAATCAAAATACCAATTTTCCGTGTATTCTTTCTGGAATTACAGGTAAATATAAGTCGTCGGGTGGAATAATGAATAATTTAAATATTCCACGATAAGGCCTCAAGTCTTCAGGTTTTGTCCAATTTATATCTAAATTGAGATCCAATAATTCTGGATGGCCTAAATAAGGATATATTTACAAATTTTAATTAAGTCTCACCAATGGGGTAAAAGGCATAGAAATTAACAGCCGGATATAGACTAACAACATCATAACATGAGATTTCGAATTCATTTTCTGTAGAGTCATCAAGATGGCATTTAAGAGATAATGGTCCTGTTCTTCCACCTAGATATTACATAATTATATGAATCAAAATAATAAAACCGTGAAAAGCATCTCGAGGGAATAGAGGTCCGATATCGGGCAATTCATCAAAGAAAAGTGACATTTTTTTATTATTCTCCAATGCCTTGACTACCTCACATTCCCAAAATATGTAGGTTCGTATGTGTTCGTTCTTCAGTAAATTGATGCGTTCATTTAAAGTGTCGTCATTATATAGTGCTGTTTTACCATTTAGACATATTTCGTGAGGACGATAAAGACTAAATTTATAAGTAAGAAAATGAAGCTTATTTTACCATTTATGTCCATGCCATGCACATCCTAGGAACTCAATAGCTATATTCTTTTCTTTAATGAATCCATCAAGTCGTAAAACACTTCCATTTGAAACAGTAATTCTATATTCGCCTTCTGCACTTTGTCTGTTTTGAATTTGAAGTCCTGTTTTATGTTCAAGCCATTTAATAAATTTGATGGAGATTGCAGAGTAGTTTGTATCTTTGTGATACCCATTGTCTGGAATAATACCTATCTGATTGTTTTTTAGATAGTTAATGCCTAAAAATAAAACTATATTGGTTTTAATATTGAATTTACAAAAATGACGAAGACATGCACTAGCAAGTGTCATTGAAGATACAAGAACATCATCTCTCTTTGATGGTTCTGTAGCGAGTTCAAAGAATAGCTTTTGCAGTTTAACAAGCGCATGTGTGAGTATGCGGACATCTTGCTCACAGTAATCGACTATTTCTTTGCATAGCAAAAAAGACTTGCCCTTGTGCAAATCGTACCATTCTTCAAAATCTTTCCTTCTTTGTTTTCCCATTACCTCAGGATAATAATACTTTTTATCAGGCAGTCCTTTCAACAAAACTTCCATATTTTTGTTATGATTCCATCCATGAGGAAAAAATGATTTTCCTCCTTCATCAATATCTAGACCAAGAGCCTTTGGTAATTGATCCAACTTGAGCATCATCCAATTAAAAGAATCGCGAAAAGAAATATAAGGATAAAATCCATCTTTCTTCTTAATTAGAACTTCGTATAGTTTGTTTCCGGTTCTAGTTATATTTGGTTCAATTCCAAAATGCTTGATCAATTCGCCCAAAAGTAAATGCATATCATAACGTCTGAAAAAATATTAAAAATAAAAAGGTAAAGTACAAACCCTCCATAATGTGAAATTGCAAGAGTTCTTCCTTTCCTCTCTTTACCAAGTCCAAAAATTATCCATTCAAGAAATTCACGCAAGGGGTTATCGTAATTTGCACCAGTCCAGCTTCTCATTCTTGGAATTCCTGGTCCACAAGTTTTACAAGCTCCTGTATATTTTTCTTTCCAATTATTATTTTGCATACAATTTGAGCATAATAACATTGCCTAATTTGTATTTTAGATGTTAAAATAATTTAAATTACCGAAACACAATTCACATGATGTAATTGATAATTTTCATCGTGAGATGAACTATCATTTGTATTTTTTGATGATGATATAAGTTCACATTCAAAATCAAATACAACCTAAAGAATTTTAACAGTTATTAATGCTAAAATTTACCATAAGATAAGATCGTGATGTCCTAGGAACAATCGGTTGAACATAGCATTGTTCGTCGTGTCTATGTCTGGAGCGGCAGAGAGAACAGAAACGAATATAACACACATGTCCTTCATTTTCCTCCTTGTTATTCACTTTGTATATTTGACCGCATTCTTTGCATCTATTTGAATTTTATTTTAAATTACAAGCTTTTAATTTACCTCTTAAAAATCTGACAGATTCCTTTTTCTATATGTCGTTCGTAACAATCAGGATTTCTAAATAAATTAAAACAGTTGGAACAATTCATTTCAAAATTTTCAATCTCTTTGCATGGAAAATCTGCGCCCATCCCACAACATCGTGGGCATTTTGCTGCACATGTTTGTCTATGTTCCAGTTTGCTGTGGAAGGTTGCTTCACATTCAAGGCAATAATACATATGTTTGCCAAAAAATGTATTTAATTTTCTTATACCATAATAATGTCCATCCTTTAAATAGAGACTGATATCTTTCTCAGCACGATCTGGTCCCTTCCATAATGGTTTCATTTGGCCATGTTCTCCAAATACAGATAAACGATATTCACCCGGATGTTTCTCATTAAGATATTTTTGTATTAAAGGAACATGTTCTTCCACAGTATATTGTTGTAATTTTAAAGGATATCGTATTCCGTGTCGTTTCATTTGAATTAACATATCCTTGATCAATGTAAATCTTTGAGTCCTGGATTTTGCACCTTTTCCGGTAATAATTCTGTGAAAATTCATTTTTTCTTTTGGTGTATTATCCATATTTATATACATCAATGTCAGTTGAACAGCCAACAAGAGACAATGATATTTGGCAGGTTCGCCTAGATCATCATTGCGAACCTAAAATATTTAATTTTCATTTATGATTTAAAAAAACCTCAATAAGATTGTTGAGGTCTGTTCCTTTCATAATATATCTAGTTTTTCTGCCACTTCCACTATTTCCTTTTTCTATCAATGCTAAAGCCTCTTCGTGGAAAGGTCCCATAACAATCTAGATAAAAAAAGTTTTTTTTACTTTTATAGAGATCAACCTCGATATGTATTGGTTGGCTGTAAAGTGATGGTCTTCCCATTCTTTTCCCACTTTGATCTACAGAATCAAGTTGCTCCATAACTACTTGTGGTGTATTTTGTGCAAAACCTCTGTATGGAATTTGAATAGGTTTTTCAAGAACCGCACTACGTATAATTATTGAATATTTTTCTGCTTTTGCACCCGTTTTCTTATCAGCCTTTGAAATAAAGTAATCAATTAAATCTTCTAAAAGTTGATCGCTTCCTTCTGGCGCATCTTCAATATTTTTAACAGTGAATACATTTCTAAAAATAAACAGGATTTCGATATATAAATTTGAGTTTACCTGAAAACACCTATTTTGAATTTTGTACTGTTAATAGTCTCAGCTGCCTCTTCTTTATAAAAATGTTTAACAGAATATTCTCCAAAATTTCTAATATGACGACTCATCTAAATGCTATAAGAAAAATTAATAATGGTTATTTAGATATTAACGTTAAAACGTATTTTTTAATAAAAATATAAGTAAATTTTAAATATTTATTGAAAAAGTATTGTTATAGTCAGTTGTTATATCCATTTACTATTCGTTTAATTTTTCAGTTTCAGCAGTAACGACACGGTCTTCTGAAGAATTTTCAGTTTGCACACACTTCTCCTCTGTGTTGGGTTTAATAGTACTACATGAATCCGTGTGAGCTCTCATGAATATTATTGGTGAATCTAAAAAATTTAAAATACGTTAACATTTTTGTCAAACCTTCTCTCATAATTGGTCCATGAATACTTCCGTGTTTGTTGAAGATCTTAATTGCCATTTCAAGATCAATTTGACCCCAGAATTTGCTAAATGGGTTATGAAGCTCAAAATACAACTCATCCTTCACGACTTCAGTAATAGCCTTAAGTAATATATTTGATAAATTATACGAATAAAAATATACAATTTTTGCCAGCGCATTCAACTCCCTTAGTAGATATTCATGTATTTGACATTTTGCTAGAGGATAGCGTTTTTCATGAAATTGCATAAAAGCATCGTATAACTCATTTTTTAGCATTTTGTTATCTTGGCGCACATACTCAAGCGTCCTTATTTGTCGAGAGAATCGTATAACGCTTTCTTTGAGACCTTCAATAACATGTTCATACATTTGTTGATCCATCTTAATATATTTATTAAAGATTTTAAAAATTTTAATACCTCTATTTTGAAGAGAATATTACAGGAACTGAAACTTTTTTTGAGAAAATTGATTAATTAAAATATAAGAATTATAAATCGTAAATTTAACGATTATTTTTTGTATTTAATGTTGATTTAAATTTTATTATTCAACAATATTAATCATATAAGCGGTGTTTAATTTTCCTTTTAATTCTTCTTATTTAATGTGCCATAGGTTTTTTGCTGGTGCTCGATGTTGGCTGTTGTGCAGTGAGAGCAAACCTTAAACAAAATTATTTAATCATTTGGGAAATTTTCTTACAGGAAAGCTGAGCTCGTAGATGTTGCCATTTTTCTGAATGAAAAGCTCATTGGCCAGTTTTTTTGTAAGCTCGCTACATTGTGTGCACTAAAATTATGTATAAAAAATATTTAACTCTTTTAATTACCTGGTGAAGAATCCAACAATATTTGCCCAAGTTTAGGAGCTTCTTATCCTTTCCTTTTGTAATGCTAGCACCTCTGGAAAATTCAAGCTCATCGTCATCTAAATAAAATATTCATAATTTAAGAAATACTATTACCAAGATCAAGCATTGACATTTTCGAGCCTGATTGCCGTCCATTATTAGAATGTCCTAAAATATTTTCGATTTTCGTAATAAATTTAAACTTACCAAAATATCCAGAGTAATGCATTCCTAAAGAGATATTTTTGTCAAGATCCTCAGCACATAATTCTATAGTCAATACAGATAGTCCTTCTATTCCTGTACTGAATAGATAATATTCCCTTTTTTTCTGTTTTTCGCGACATGATTCGCATTGGTAGACAAAGATCCCCTGTCGTTGATGTTTAAGAAGCTGTGCTCGATCGATCAGAGCCGCTGGCACCGTGAATCTCTTATGATAATTTCCTAAAATTGTTTTATTTTAAAATTTCAAATATAAAATTACTATCAATGCGCATTCTTTTGCTGACCGCTTCGTTTAATTTCATAGGATTGTCTTCTTCATCTTCTGATAAATCTCCATTATAATTGAGGATAGCCTGATGCAATTCATCGTCTTCCTTTTTTTCCTTGTCTGACATTTGGTTTGTATCTCCATCATTTGCCTGCTTGATTATATTTAGATATAAAATGATAGATAAGTATACCTGCGTCTCAGATGAATGTTTGTTTATTTTCTTCTCGGGTGTTTTAGTCTTTTTTGCTGGTGTTTTGTCTGGTGACGATGTACAACTTGACTTTGACTTTCTTCTTCTATTTTCCGCCGCTTCTTTCTTTTTTTGTTGTTTTGAAATAAATCCACGAAAAAGCTCTATTTCCTCGGTAGTTATTGAACCTTAAACCTTAAAATTTTATATCAGGAATTGCTTACCTTGTGAGCCGTTGTTTTGAGTTTCATCATCATCAAGAGTGATTGATTGAACTAAATAAGTTAAAATAATCAATTTTAAAAAATTAATGTTTTTACCATCTTTTGCGTGGGAGTTCATTTTATATAGAAAAATATTTTTTTAATATCTAAATCTTTGAAAATTTCAAATTTATTTGAATTTTTTTTTTAAATTTAATGTGAAGAGTAGGTAGGCTTTTAGTAATAAGTGATTGTTGATAAATATTATGAATGATATACACGGCGAAAAACGATCTTCTTTTATACGCACCAGAAATGCTTCTAGAACATTCTAGAATAGATAATTACTATAAAAAAACTTGTTTTTTGCTCAATCATGTTAAAGTCTACCCTTTGTGTTTTTAACTTTTAATTGTTATAAGTAATTTTGGTCAATTAAGTTGGCAATTTTTTGTGCAATTATTGTGAAATATTTTTTTTGTGGAGCAATTATGTGGGCATTATTGCGAAATATTTCTTTGTGGAGCAATTATGTGGGCATTATTGCGAAATATTTCTTTGTGGAGCAATTATGTGGGCATTATTGCGAAATATTTTTTGTGCAATTAAATGGTTATTTTCTTTGTACATATTGCGAAATAAATTGGTGTGACATTTTTTAGTATGACTAGAAATGAGTGGCCAATTATTTTTGTATACATTCATTTTAATTATTTTTGTTCGATTTTGTTTAATTTTTAGTTATTATCCGTGCTCAATGCTAATCATTCATATATTTTTAGATTTCAAATTATTTTTGCGACTACTATATTAATTTTATAACCCGAAAACCTCGCTTTTCAACGAATTGACCTCTGCATAATTTTTTTAATTTTTAAATTTGCTTTATCACAAATTTCTCCATTTATATGAATATTCAATTCATAAGTTCTTAATTTTATGTTGTTAAGTGGTTAAATTTTATGCAAAAATTTGTATTTTATAGATTAATACATGGTTCGAATTTTAGTGAAGAATGATACAAGACGCCTTTACATTTCTTAAAAAACTATTGACTTTTTTCCATCAATAGCCTAGCAATGTTTCCAAAAAAATTTTTACGATGTTGCAAGGTTCAAAAATTTGTACACAATTACAAAATATTTTGTCTAAATATTTTATCACATCTTATTATTTTGTAAAATTTTTGTTTGCAAAATTTTTTAATTTATTTACACTAATTGCTTTTTACGCAATCAAAAAGAAAATTGCCTTTTTCAAAAAAAATTTTTACACTATTGTATTTACAAGTTTTGTATATTAAATTTTTGCAAAGATAATTATTGCGCCTTAAAATAAAATTTTTCGGTAATTATCAGTCGCTAAAATATAATTATCTGCAATATGAAGAGAAAATTTTGCAAATACAAGTTTGAATCACTTTATAAAAAAATGTTCGTCTAGGCATAGGCTTTTAAAATGTTTTTGTCAAATTTCCTTCAATTATACGCATTTTAGAAAATAAATTTAAAAAAATAAATATACTCTGGTTTTATAACACTTTTTTCCAAAAAGTGTTATAAAAATGGAGTATATACTACTAAAATCTTGATGCACTTAAACGATATGCTAAAATCTTCATCAAACAAATCATTCTAAAAAGAAATTGAAAGGTTACTACGGATCAAAAGAGCATTCTGCTATTGAAAGAAGTATATCTAAAAACAGACAGGAGCAATTACAAATTATTGAAAAGCTCAACGACATTCAAAATTATTTAGGTCATTTTTATGAAATTTAACTAAACGTTATTATGATAGAGCAAATAAAGTTCGAGAAAATAACGCAATTATAGGGTCTAATGGAGGTGTCTTGTCGAGCAATAACCCAATAAATCTTATTAATTTATATTAGTGCTTCGTAAGAAGTTCCATTCCAGGTTAACTAGAACTTCCAAGTTTCTTGCTCAAGCTTCTGGTTCCGCTCCTTTCTTTCTAACTGGGATGAATTGTTGTTTATTTTATTCATTAAAATAGTATAATCCGAAAATATTCCAAAGACATAATGATAAATGCGCCTTTATAAAATCTTTTTATCATTATTTTTGTGGATCGTCTTTTGCAATTTTATTGTTATTAATTCAAGGTCAAGAACATTCTGAACAACCGACTTTAAACATTAACACAATGGAAAATTTAACTGCTAATCACAATTTAAATTTGCAAAATATTAGTCTAAACTCAAATTCAGCCGGTCATGGTGAGATATCGATAAATTAATATATTATATCTTGTGGAAAAGACTTTGTTCGACTTTTGTTCCAATTTCTTGACTCAAGAGTCCTGTCATCAGTCCTTTCTCTTTCAAATTTTACCCCTAATGTCTCCGTTATCTGAGTTGCTAAACAATTGTTAAATTTAGATCATATCTCGAGACAAAACATGAACACTTTTGGATTTCGTCCATATGTTGGCACTTCACAAAGTCTGATAAATCATGACGTCCAACAATTTGTTAACACATCACAATTTTCTCAAAATGCTAATCTTCAAAACGGAAGCATTATTCATAAACCACAACCACTTCGTCCTCGTTCAGTTAAGCTTCGAATTGTGTCTGATTTAGGCAATCAAGCTGGTAATAAAAATTATTTAAATGAACTATAATTAAAAGTTAATTTGGTGTAGTTATAATACATATGGGTCTCACAAGTTGCTAAAACTAAGAGCTCTTTATTAAAATTTTAAAATCAAAACAAATTATATTCTTTTTAAGGACATTGAGTTTGATGGATAGACAGACAGACGTCAACGGAAAAACATTTCCCTAAGAACATTTCAAAATTTTTACAAAATTATTATTTTTAAAAAACGAGATCAAGAGAATTTGGGAAAAGCTTTATTTTAAATTTAGCCCCATTATTTCTCACTTCTATATAAAATTTAAAAAGTTTGATTGGTTTAAATATTATCTTATACTGAGGGTCGACATAATCCTTATGTGTACTGCCGAATATATATATTTTTAATAAACTTAAGACGTCATCGTGGTTGCGCTCATAGTTGAGCCAAACACAAGATATGAGAGGTCCACGTCTCCGAAATTCTTTATCTAAATATCTGGTATACGTCAAAATTCTGTTATTCCTCATAATCCACATTCCTAATATTTCCTAATATGGAAGTCCTAGGCGGATCTTGGTCCCGGATGATTTTATTTTCCATAAAATTTAAATGTAATAGAACCTAGCCGTTAGATGGAATTTTATGTATTTATCCGTCTTGTTTCATATTCTATTTTTTATTTTAAGAAGTACGTACCTAAAAATGTCTGGCATTTGCGGAATCCCACGAGATATGTTCGTAAAAGATTCTGGAAAATTATTGATAGCGGATTCAGCAAAATATTTCTCATGTTTTGAAAAAAGGAGCAATTCGCTTGATTTAAAAAGTTATAATAATAAAATATAAATTATGATAATTTGTCAAATTTTAACAGTTTAAATTAGATCTATTAGTAAATATTTAATTTATTTAATTAATTTATCACATTAACAAAACTAATCGAAACAATAAACAAATCGGAAGAACGCAAGGCGCCGGCGTTTGACGACGAGCGGTTGTTTACAGGGTATTGAATAATGAATTGATAGCTATGAATGGAGTATGAGGAGGTGAAGAGGTGGCGTTAGGGCTAAAGCCTGGGTCTTGCGCAGAAAATAAAATTCACAATGAGTGGCGCGTGCTATTTTCCTCTCTCCCCACAAGACTCGCGGTTGTTTATATAGGCACGCACATCTTAAAAAGGGAGATATAGAAAATAAAGGGGATTTTTTTAAGATTATTAATAAACAGGCAAGGAATTGACAAAGAATTGCATAGCTTTTCTTTAGCAATTTCAATAGAATAAAAAGTAAAATAATAAAATTAAAATAATAATAAAAAAATTAAAAAAATTAAATAAAAAATAAAATAATAGCCCATGTGAAGCGCGGGATTTTGCACAAGAGCCTCTCCAACGTACAATAGGTTTATGTTGCTTGTTTTTGTGTCGTAACTTTGTCTAATTTTGTTCAATCACGGTGATTTTGGTGGAGCTCTTTCGAATGAGCAATTATTTGTATATTGAATTTTTACCCCAAAATCCATCCAAGTATTTGACCATTTCAAGCCCTATATCTCAGCTCACAGTTGAGTACGCCGGCTAATTTTTAAAATGACGTTCGAGCCAGCTAGACGAGCTTTTTCGAATGACATATAAATCATCCATATCTGGATCAGAATTGTAAAACGAACTTAGAACGATTCTATTTTTCAACATTAAAGATAAATATTTGTTTGCTGAATAACTATTGGGTTTTTCTAGTATATTTTTTTTTAATTTTACTTTGAATTTTTTCGGTCATATGGTTCAGTAAAACTTTAAATTGTCAACCTGAATATAACTAAGCACAATAATTTCGCTAAAGAGTATGAATTCAGGTAGATTCTGAGCATATTATTACCAAAAATTTTTGTCAGCGAACTAAAATATTTGGCATGTTTGTAATTTCAAGTTGCGAAATGCTGTTGCGTAACATTTATTCGGTTGTAAACAGCCCTAATAAAATTCCTTATAAAAAATCAATAATTTTTTAAATGGCTGATAGATTTGGAGCTAGTGTCATTCAATAGCCTAGGCAAAGCAGGCGCATTCCTTCTAACTACTTTAAATTTATTAGCCTTCATTTATTAAATGCTTTTTCTCTAATTTTCTCGTCTAATTCCACTCTAAAATTTATTTTCTAGAT